GAGGGAGGGTCATCATCGTATGACCAGGAGCAGCACTGGATCAATATACTCCCTTAGTACCAGTAAGAGATATGAGAATATAGAATGTACATGTATAAAGTGCAAAATATATTTTATTTTTATAACTACGAGTTGTTATAACTTCAAGTAAGTGATTTTTGAAGGTTCAAATTTTTATGAATAATACTGGCAAGAGTATTAAAATGGCAGGTTTAATTTAGCAAGCAATGATCAAATTAAGAATTTTGCCCTCCAAAATTAAAAATTTTTTATTTATATTTTCTCTCCTTCTCAGTTGTCAGTGGTTCCTTATCAGATTCAGATGATGATAGTTCCTCGAGATTAACTCCTAACAAATCCTCCTCAGTATTTCATTCTTTCCGTTTGTCTCTTCGTCGACGAAAACACAAATCAACATCATCGGCCACCTTAACCCCCAGCATGCTCTCGTTGCCATTGGCAACCAGAGAACCTTACATGTAAGGAACGTAAACATGTACATGTACATGTAATATTATCGTATGAATTTTGTAAGTACATGTACAATTATTTTTATATATTTTGTGGTATTAATTTTGTTTAAGGTTAACTGCTGGAATGGAAAATCACTTGCTTTATTACGTATCTCTTGAAAGTGGGCGTGGTCTCCTCGTATCCCCTAGCAACGAGCAGGTCAGCAGTCAACCAGTTCATAGTCAGCTACTGATCACTTTCTGTGAGACTGCGTCAGCTATTCACACCATCTTACACCAGAAGAGGAGAGAGGAACAGGAGGAGAATGTATGGGAGGAAGAGGAGGAGGAGGAGGTGGGTGTGGTCAAGGATATTAGGGATGGGTAGGTCAGGATTTGAGCTTGGAATCAGCTCAAACTTTCTACACAGCATAAGGACATCAATATGTATCAGAAAATGTAATAAAAATTGGGGGTGATTTTGGAGCCATTTTTTGGAAAAAACCATGGGCTATAATAGTACAGGGATTTTTTCAGATTTTGGCCCGTTTTTTAAAATGGCCGTAACTTTAAAAATTTAAGTAGGAATCAGCTCAAACTTTCTACACAGCATAAGTACATCAATATGTATCAGATCTTATTCTTTCTCTTACCTTTTCTTTATTCTCATACAAAGCCTTTAATCCAATCCATAGTGATGGAACTCCTTTATGAAGAGGCGGCCAAAGGTACTGACCAATCATATCACGAAATGTAGGACCCTTTAAGAAGACCTTTTAAAATTTGGGGTGATTTCGGAGCCATTTTTTGAAAAACCATAGGCTATAGTACCAGGGAACTTTTTTAAAATGGCCCATTTTAAAAAGTGCTCAAAATTCCAAAGTTTCTGCTCAGAATTCTCAAACTTACTACATAGCATAAGGACATCAAAACCATCAAAACAGTATAATATCATCAATGTCTCTATCATCATTATTGTTACTTCATATCATTTGTTCATCTATAGGTATCATCAGTTTCCTCAATGAAAGACGGCACTGATGGTGTGTTTAGTTTAAGAGGGAGTTCAGTGATAGAACATGGAGTATTAGTATCATGTACTACACTATCAACAAGAGGGGGAGGAGTAGGAGGAGGGGCTAAGAATGTTCACGGGTCATTAGCTAATCCTCCTATACTCAACTACTGGATAATAGGGTGAGGAGTATTAACCTGTGTATATTGTGTATTTTGAATATTTTCACTCTTCTTTCTATTAAATTTTGTTCCTTTATCTATTTATTTATTTGTTTGTTTATTTATTTTGTTTTGTTTTTAGGAGATTGTTTGAGGAGAGAGAGTTGTACATTTGCTATCAGGAGAACATGTCACAGTCATCTGTTGAGATTATTTTTAAATTGCTGTTTGGATCAAATATATTTTAAAATTTTTTCTATTTTTTTATTTTTATCATCAATATTAAATTAATCATTATTTTTACTCCTGTTATTGGGCTGTTAAGTCAGATTAACGCCCACTCAAGGGCGAGGCTCATTTTAAAGGTGGGGCTCATTTTCTCAAAGATGGAAATCTCTTTCGATGCTTTCTTGTCCTCTACGCCAAGTATAAAGGAACTAACGGAGCATGTTAATGTTGGTGCTAAGTGGAACACACTTGGCACGATGCTTGGCTTGGATCGGAGACGATTACAAGATATTAAGGAGCAAGCAGGTCCATGCATTGACAAGATGATAGAGATGTTCAATCTATGGCTGGCCACTACTCCTACTGCTAGTAGGAGACAAGTACTGGAGGCATTGAGAAAAAGTGTAGTGGAAGAGAATGCACTTGCTGATGAATATGAAAAGCACTTGAGAGAATTGCATCAAGAAACTTGTAAGCTGTATCTATGCATCTTATGAGTGTCTGATACTAATTTTATCTTTTTTTAGATGTACCACCATCTACTGAGGCAGTTTCTATTCTTCAAAGGAATATTCAATCATTGAATGAAGCTCTTGTCTCTCCTGTACAAGTGTCTCAACTGTTATACTGTAAGAGATGTATAAGTGAAGCTACTCTGAATGAAATGGAGAGGATAGATCAGAGGAGGTCACTGGATGACAAGAAGACCACTCTATTGACTGCCATGCAAGAAACAGTGTCTAGTGACTACAGGAAACTTAAAGATATTGCTACAGTGCTATCTGATGTTGAAGAAACAAGAGATATAGCCAATAAAATCATGGCCAAATATGGTAAGATAGTGATTATTGTCAAGTTATTACCAATTTATGAATATTATTTTTCTGATAATAGAGAAAATTCCTCAAGAGGAGGATGACGTAGTAGTACAACCACAGGTGGGAGTAGTCAGTAATGAAGATCGTGCTAGTGATATATTGAGGAATAGTTACAGTGCTCTCTCTCAGTCAATTACTGAACCAGTTCGTGTAGCAAGGTTGCTTCATGGAGAGGTTATATCTGATGAGGCTCTGTCTTGTGTCATGTCTACCAGAGGTTCTGTCTCTGTCAGTAGAGCAGTTCTCCTCAAAGCTGTACGAGATGCTGTTCACTCCAACTACAAACACCTGGAGTTGTTTGTTACTGTATTACAAAAAGACCTTAAAGAGAGTCAACGCATTAATGGTATGATTCGTACTGTCATTATACTAGTATCAATTATCATTTAATAGTTCAAAAGGAAGAAGTGATTGATGAACTAAAGGAGAAAATCTCATCACTAAAAAAAAAAAAAACTGTAAACAAGGAAAGCATAATTAAAGGTAAACTGTGTGCTTTGT